CCCCCCCCCTCCTTATAGAAATAGAAAAAAATAAAAGATATAACCACCAGTTGAAGAAAGAAGAAGTTATAAAAATTAATGTTGACCTATAACTATTATATCTACCCTTTAATAACATTGTTGTTAAATTAAAAACATGTGATTTTTAAACAGCTTGTAGTCATACTGTATATATTTTTGGGGGTAGTCATGATTTCCTGAATAAAGGATTATCATTAAATAAACGGCAGGGTGGTCTTATCGCTACTACTTTTCAGCAGCCTTGACATAAGGCCCCATTCACACTAAGCGACATACCTTACAAGCGGATCCGCGCGGCCGGGATAGCGCGACTGTTTGGGGCGACGTTCCAGCGAAGATCACGCAACCTTCACCATCGGGCTGCATGCAAAAAAAAATTGCGCGACATCCACGGGAAAAAGGGTCCCGCACAAGCGACACGCAACGGCGACGAGCAACATGGAGCTGTTCAATAGAACAGCTCCATTGAAAATCATTAGCCAGCGACTTCTCGCAATATCGTGCGGCAAAAATGCGCGATATCGCGGCGGAAATCCGCTCAGTGTGAATGGGGCCTAAGGGAGAACAATAGAACAAGGGGGGGGGGGGGCTGAAGGCTGGAACAAGACAAGTATAGTGTGCAATGCTGGAGTGTCCCTAACCTTTCTTGCTCTTGAGGTTGGTGCACAATCAGTGGGGAGGTGCTGGTGTAGAGTGATGCTGCTAAGAGCCAGGCAGGGAGATGTGTACGGGCTCTGCATCACCCCGCCCAGCTCTTAGCAACCTGGCCCACGTTCCACCAAGCTTCTGGCAACCTGTGATGTCACTGGTTGCCAAGAGCTTGGGGGGACAGTCTTCACATCATCCCACCAAGCTCCTGGCAACCAGTGACGTCACTGGTTGCCAGGATCTTGGCGGGACGCTGGCAAGGGCATCCCAAGTTGCTAAGAGCTGGGCAGGGAGATGTGTATGGCCCTTATACATATCCTTCTCCGGCTCTTAGTAACCTGGGATGCTCTGGCCAGAAATGTGGCACCAGGCACACTGCAAACATTGTGCAGCAGGCTGACCATGCCGCTCTGCCTACTGTCCCCCACATAACCCAAAGAGATGCCACCTGAGGCTGCTTCATTACAGGGACTGCCCTGGTGATACCACACTAAAGTTCAGCCATAGCAATCTTCATGCTTCTTCTTGACAGCTTTCCTTTAGCATGAAGTGGAATGACAAACTAATAATAAAAGGGCAAATCGTAATATTCCGGGAGCTTTGCAACTTTATAAAAGTACTGGGGGAGGGTAGGATATGGGCCGCGCACACCATAAGTAAACAATCCCAACTTGTCAATAACATGTGATGAAGTTTGCAGAACACTTCCTCCGTATCAGAAATGTGCCCTTTCCTTTGTGGTCTCAGAATTCTTCCTCATTTACACAACTTTTGCAGACTTGCAGATCGGTTACTTAGCACCCAACAATATTATTTCTCATTGAAGACAGCACATTAAAAACGACTTTATCCCAATTCATTACATTATAAGGCTTTAATCTGGTACAGTGTTCCAAATAATACCCGCCTCATTTTTTTTTTATATTATAAGCTGACAATTAGCCAAAAAAAAAATTACACAAACTGCATTATTATATTTCATTTAACTTGTTTGAATCAAAATGTTTAACTTTTCTAAGTTGTTCTTTCTTTAGTCATTGTATTGTGCTGTGACAGCTGCAGTCTAGCGGCTTCAGCTGCCACTGTGCAATTCTCTCTGTACAAGGTACAGTGGCAACTGAAACAGAAAGTGTGTTTGTGAACAAACCTATGCGATCTGTCTGATTGGCAGTCATGTTGATCACATGATTGGGAACCACGCTGACTGGTTATCGATCAGTAGTGTAGACCAGTGGAAGTTAGCGTGATCTTAGTACTATATCCTCCCATAGATGTGTGCTCCTAGTTCTATACTGTAATGTACATTAAAATGCAATTGAAGCCATAATTTATTGCCGTCTCGGTCACCCTCTCCATTTGTCCTGGTGACCATTATCACTGAAAGTGAAGAAAAATCCAACATTTTGGGCGGTCACCAGAGCAGGAATGGATGAGAAATCTTCCAATGGGTACACCAGTTCTGGCGAGTCTGCTGACCACTAGGGATTTCCTTCAGTTTGGAGGGATTTCTTCTCACTTCCTGTTTCGGCTTTTAGACAGGAACTGAAGGGAAATCTCCCCAATGGGACACTAATGGGGGCAAAAAAATTACGCTAGAGGGAGGTAGTATTAGAATATTTTATTGCAGCCTGGATCTATCTCTCCCTAGTCCATGTCTCGGTGTCACCAGGACCAGCAGTGAGGGGAACGGGTGTTATTGAGACAGGAAGACACAGAGAGCAATGCAAGCCTGACAGCATTTCTAACCCTGCCCCAATCTGCTAAATACATGTGCTTTTCTTTCCGTCTCTGTTGCCATCACATAGTGGAAACCTGCCACAGAGACAGGAAGTGGAGAGATATCTACCTAATAGGGCCATAGACAGCAATAAAAAAAACTAACAAATCTTCCAACAGTCTGACAGTAAAGAATGAAGGGGACACATTCTGAGTTGTGAATGGGCATCTTGAAATTAATGTTGGGAGACTTTGTCAACAAGGACATCTGCTGTTTCATTTAAAAAAAAAAAGACAGGAATTTCGAATGGCAGGACAGTAGTTTTTTTTCTTAGCAATGAAAAAAGTGGAGATTTTTAATTGTAGACTTGCTTGATTTGACAGGAAATATTAAAAAGTAGGGATACCAGTGGCGATACTTGGCATCATCACAAGAACTACCAGGGTTGCAGCTGGGACCTGGCTCTGGCGCTCCACCACTGTCCTGAAATCATTAGTCTGTATTAGGCTAAGGTGTATCTATATGTACATAAACCTTAAAAGGAGAACTATGAGATGAGTGATTTCCAGTTCTAGCTGACCTGTGACAATGAGACTGTCACAGGTCGGCTCAGTAGATCGGGAGGTGAGAGACCCCATAGTTCTCCTTTAAATAGTAACATGACATGGGCCTACTTGGTTTTCCCCAGCAATTCTATTCTTCCTTATGTGCTGTATACCGTTATATATAGCACATCTCAGTGGTAATGTCAGCCTGCTTACAGCACTAAGTGATAGCGAACAATGCGTTCTGGGATCACACTAAGCAGATTTACAGAAGAACTGTAATGAAGTAATAATTATTCATACCCACTTATCGGTCTGGTCTTCCTAATTTCAAAGAACTGTGTTCCAGTGTGGTTATATCTGTATTTCTGACATTAAGGAGAAATAACCAGAATACATTTTATCAAGACCAACACAACCGCAGATCCTAATAATAATAATAAGGGAAAAGGGAGAGGGAAAAAAGGGAGAAGGGGGGAGAGGGAAAAAGGGAGAAGGGGAGAGGGAAAAAGGGAGAAGGGGAGAGGGAAAAAGGGAGAAGGGGAGAGGGAAAAAAGGGAGAAGGGTTGACGGGGAGAGGGAAAAAAGGGGAGAGGGAAAAAAGGGGTGAGAGGGAAAAAAGGGGAGAGGGAAAATGCAATAAGCTAGGAGTATACTCATGTGATATTTGCTAAAGAGAGGGATCAAAAGTGGTTAGTCTTCCCCTTCAGCAGAAGATAACAAAATTACAGAGTATCCAATTCTACATAGCCACGTGTGACCAGTACATAATCCTTGTACTGTGCTCAATATACTGGGGCTCCTGGGTTTTTTTTTCTTAAAATTTGCACAGAACAACCAACCAATTACCTGGTTTTAAAGGGAAAACGCTGAACTAGGGGCAACAAACACTCTTCCCTTTCTTCAGCAGGAAGTACGCCCCAACAGTCCAACCCTGAATTACTGAAAGCATCTAAACAACTCTGCAATGCATGTACAAGCATGAAAGCCATGTGTTTATAATGTAATACATAGTGATATAAACAAGCTTTATTCCTGTGTGGACGGACGCTCCCAGTCTGTGGGGACAGAGCTATACAATGGAGAGACTGAAAACACACAATCTGTTGTGGTCAAACAAGAGCCACAAACACAAAGACTTCGGCTCAGGCGTGGACATATGAAAAGACGTCTCTTCACCAGCGCTGCTTCAAAGTGACAAGGCAAAGATGTTGGCTGACAGTATACCCGGCTCCCTTGTTATACTGGTGAGCAGAGACACTTCAGGAATGAAAATCATGAATGCAAACATGAAGAAAGAAGAACAAAGAAGGAGAGAGAAAATGAGAGAAAGAGAGAAATATACGACTTTCTTATCACTATCACCCGCATTGCTGGACACATTCATGGCATTCCAGCAGAAAACTATGAAACAACCAAAAGTCCCACCCTGAAACTGAAAACAATTCATAGCTTACAGCTGAAATCTTGGCACAGAAACTTTAATTTAAATTGTTTCTTCAACAGACACAAAGGGATATAAATCCACTTTGTGTGCGCCAACCACATTTATATGATCAAAGTCAAAAAAGAAATAGACAATTTATCTGAAATCATCCAGCCATTTATCAGCCCCTAAAGAAAGGCTATAAACTGACCTCCTATCGGTAACAATTTAAAAACCCCAAAGACAGGTCCTGAGCCCGTTCAGACGCAGAACACGCAAAGTCCAATTGATAGAGTGAACACAGCAGGATAAGGAACCTCGGGGGGAATTTATCAAAACTGGAGCAGTTACCCATGGCTGATTGGTTATGGGCAACTGCTCCAGATTTGATAAATGACCCTCCTTATATTAAAAAAAAAAGTTTTTTTTTAATCTGATGCCATTGAAAAGGACAGTCACATGGCTGAAAGTAAGATCTTTATTCTTGTCTTAAAGCTTTTTGAATTGAGCGTATGGTATGCAAAGTGATCCGGATGGTACAAAAGAGACCTACAACTTGAGACAGAACCGACTGCTCCAGCCATGTGGCCAGGGGACATTGAAGGATGAGGAGCACTTCCTGTTATAGAATTCCAAATACTCAGAAGAGGACAACACTAACTTCCCGAGAATCTTCTTCCCCATCCCACTTCCATAGAAGAGAAGAGGAAACTCTACGCCATACTAGGAGGAGAGAAAAATAGCTGCTCAATACATTACAGCGTGTCAACGGCTGGGAGAACATCCATCCATCATAGACCAATATATCCCTTACCCTAATATTGTTCCTAGGTTCACTTCTTACCCTATTTATAATACCCCTTAGCCATAATAGTGTCCCAGAACTAATGTCTTCCATACTCCTTATAAGTACACATTCTACCCCACCCCAGTCTATAGATAGATCAATCTAGAGAGAGAGAGATCTAGAGAGAGAGAGAGAGAGAGAGAGAGCGAGCTAGAGAGAGAGAGATCGATCTAGAGAGAGAGAGAGAGAGAGAGAGAGCGAGCTAGAGAGAGAGAGATCGATCTAGAGAGAGAGAGAGAGAGAGAGAGAGCGAGCTAGAGAGAGAGAGATCGATCTAGAGAGAGAGAGAGAGAGAGAGAGAGCGAGCTAGAGAGAGAGAGATCGATCTAGAGAGAGAGAGAGAGAGAGAGAGAGCGAGCTAGAGAGAGAGAGATCGATCTAGAGAGAGAGAGAGAGAGAGAGAGAGCGAGCTAGAGAGAGAGAGATCGATCTAGAGAGAGAGAGAGAGAGAGAGAGAGCGAGCTAGAGAGAGAGAGATCGATCTAGAGAGAGAGAGAGAGAGAGAGAGAGCGAGCTAGAGAGAGAGAGATCGATCTAGAGAGAGAGAGAGAGAGAGAGAGAGCGAGCTAGAGAGAGAGAGATCGATCTAGAGAGAGAGAGAGAGAGAGAGAGAGCGAGCTAGAGAGAGAGAGATCGATCTAGAGAGAGAGAGAGAGAGAGAGAGAGAGAGAGAGAGAGAGAGAGAGAGAGAGAGAGAGAGAGAGAGAGAGATCTAGAGAGAGAGAGAGAGAGAGAGAGAGCGAGCTAGAGAGAGAGAGATCGATCTAGAGAGAGAGAGAGAGAGAGAGAGAGAGATCTATCTAGAGAGATAAGAGAGATCTAGAGAGAGAGAGATCTAGAGAGAGAGAGATCTAGAGAGAGAGAGATCTAGAGAGAGAGAGATATAGAGAGAGAGAGAGAGAGATCTAGAGAGAGAGAGAGAGAGATCTAGAGAGAGATCTAGAGAGATCTAGAGAGAGATCTAGAGAGAGAGAGAGAGATCTAGGAGAGAGAGAGAGATCTAGGAGAGAGAGAGATCTAGGAGAGAGAGAGATCTAGGAGAGAGAGATCTAGGAGAGAGAGAGAGAGAGAGAGAGAGATCGATCTAGAGAGAGAGAGAGAGAGATCGATCGATCGAGGGAGAGAGAGGGAGAGAGATCGATCTAGAGAGAGAGGGAGAGGGAGGGAGGGAGAGAGAGAGAGAGAGAGAGGTGGAGCGATAGATACATGATTGATATTAATTATTGATAGACATATAGCCAGACAATATAGATAGACAGACAGAATAGAGCGAGAGAAAGAAAATAGGATAAGAATGGATGAAAGAAAAGAAGAAGATTGTCTCATTTCTCCTGAGGTCGGGAAGCACATTTTTGGGCAGTTCTAAGAAAACAACTGGTTTCCAGAAAGGCGATGCGGTATATAAAACAGCTGCGAGCTGCCTCCTGTGAGCCGGCGTTTTCTGCCCGAGTGGCTCACTTCTGAACTCTCCCCGCCAAACTCAATTACATGCCACATTGTGATAGAAAGCCTTGGCGGGCTCGGTTCTGGCACCCAAATCAGAGATGACCCAGTGATTAATGGCGTCATACAGACAGCAATATGCCAAGTGTAACAGGGAGATGGGCGCTACTGTCTCTAGAAGAAACTCTCATCAGCAAAGATCAGATATCAAGAAACAGCTGGCAGACATTACACACCTTACTACAATGCAGGACTGATGGTGGTGGGGTTTTATTTAAAGGACATGAACAAGCTGACCTCCAAACAGCTAAATACTTACCTGTCAAAGGATTTGTACTTCTCTCCATCCAGTACTGCGATTTACACAGCTCTGTAACACAGCACAGCCCAGCCTAGCAGTGAAGGAGACTTGATCTTTCTCTGCTGCAGTTCCACATTCACTTAAGGTCCCCTCCCCACCCCATGACGGGACAGTGAAAGGAAAACCATCACATATATGAATTCATCTCCTGTCACTATTCTCACTCTTCCTATCAGCATGCTGATTGCACTGCAGCACCCTTGATTAGCTCCTTGTGCTGCTTTTTGCTCCCCCTCTCTGGGCTCTGCTGTACAGGTACTGAAGAGGTTTATACCAGGTCAAATTCAGGTTCTCACAGTGCCTACACTTTGTTTCAGAAGTTTATTAGAGCAGCAAATATGTGAATTGCTGCCCTGTTCTATATTGGTTACTGGCCAGGAAGACAATATAATCCTTACCTCTCTACTACTTTTATTCAGAGCCATTACTACAGATCACAGAGCCCCATAGCAAAAACGTGATGTCCCCCCCATGACCTCTCTCTAAGCTGTAAGTAATGATGCCAAGATCCCAAAGACCCCTCTTGTGCATCTGAAGTCATCTCTACACTGTAGACTTTACAGGAGATTAGAGTTGTCCTCAACTGCAGACACACCTATTCCTGCAAACTAATGGGCCCCCCTTCCACACCCAGGCCCCATGGTAGCCGCCTTGCCTGCTTTTTTTTACCAATGCTCAGTCAATGGTGCATATTGTGGATGGTTCACAATGCAAAGGCCTCATTCACACAGCTAAGTGTCGGCCCGTACAGATCCGTGCGGCGTGCATGGACGTATCAGGCCGTTCCTGGGAAGGACAGGTGCTGCGTGTGATTGTACGCAGCAGCCTGTTCTTCCCTATGGAAGTAGGGGGCTGTACACTCACCCAAGCTACACATCTGTGCGGGTTTCCATACTCGTAGGTAGACAGGATGGATTCTGCCTGCATCCAAGTACGGATGAGCAGTTCGGGTGAGCGTACAGTGGCGTACTCCCATAGAGAAGAACAGGCTGCGTAAATCGCACACAGCACGTCATTCCGGGGAACGGCCCGATACGTCCATGCACGTCGCACAGATCTGGACGGGCCGTCACTTAGCTGTGTGAATCAGGCCAAATAGTTTCTGAGAAGGTGTAAAGGTGCCCATACACCTTACGATTATCGGACGAAACGTTTCGTCCGATGATCGTATAGTCGTACGATTTTTGTACGACAGCCCAATCCTGCCCCGATGATCGCAAGATTAATTTAGCCGTAATTAACGAGAAGCACCTGGACGAAATGCGGTAACTGATTTGTCGTATTTTCGTTCGCGCATTCGCGCGGTGTACATCGTACGACTTTTGACGGACGGAAACGCCAGCAACCTTACGACAATCGTACGATCGAGCAAAGTTTTCAAACATGCTTGACCGTCAAAAGTCGTACGATTGTACAGTAATGTCGGTTCGGGCACTCTATTCACACGTACGATTGTCGTTCGAAAAGTCGATCGCATACGATTATCGTCCGATAATCGTAAGGTGTATGGGCACCTTAAGACTAATTAGCATGACAATGCTGCCCCACAAAAGGCAATCAGTCCACCCAGCCAGTTCTCACTCTTCAGGAGACAGTTGTGCTGCAGGGATCAGCGTGTGTGTACAGACTCACTAGAGGAGTGTGTTCTGGCCTGTCTGGCCTCCAAGATAGGCCTTCTGACCTGACCGACATCTGACAGAAAGTGAGAGGGTCTTGGCCAAAAAGAGACAGTGCTTGAATATGCAGAGAGCCAGTACAGTCCAAGCTGGGCAACTCAGTAGCCACGAGGCTAGATTTATTATTTAAATTTTGATTTGTGATATGCCGAGAACTCCTGCCAGGGAAACCCTTGTGTAAGCAACATCTTGTTAATGAATAAAAAGTGGGCAGGAGCCCTTAAATGCATGTTTTGGAGTGGACTGAGTCCTTGCAAAGTCTACATGTGGAGGTAAATTCCCACAGTATGTACAATGTTTTGGGACTCATCAGTCCTGGCAATGACTCCTTTAATGTAATGAAAAACAGTGTACATGTAATTGCCCTTTAGGCTGCTGTCTCAACACATTGATGTCATTCCCAGCTCATCTACAGCTGTTACAGTAAATCAATAGAAGACATATGCAAGTTTAACATACTGTATATTGCCTGCCCACCCCCCTTCAAATCAAACACAAAAAGCCTTGTGTATGAAATCAGCCGGCCGGTCTTATGACTATGAATACATTAAGCTCTGCAGACACATCAATGGCGTATGCCAGGACAGTCCATGTAGCCCCAACTAACTAGATGCAAATTCTAACAAAACAGCCGACAACTGATACCTAGTCCGCAACCAAAACGCTGATCTCCAGGAACACAGGTAACACAGTTAAAAGTCACACATGTGAACTGTCTCATTCCAGTCAGCCAATGTTGTGATTCCTACCCATATGGCATGCATTATAGCCAGGAGGGTGACACCACATTCTCCTTTAGAGTTAAAGTACACAGTGGTGTCACCTCCCCACCTCCAGGCTGCTTATTGCACAATGAAGAAACAGCAACACAATGACAGATTATCAGCCTTGCTCACTCTGCTGTCTCCTTGTAAGGAAAAGATGGCAGCCCGAACTTGCATTCGGAATAACCGGAAAACACGCTCTAGTGTGCAGGCGCACGCAACCGGAAGTCCGCGGGAAGACGCACAAGAAGTGACATCTCACCCTAATGAATGGCCCTATATAAGCAGGCGTGTCTGTTGCTTCAGTGCTGATGGTCTTCAGCTTGTTCCCTGGGCCTGCTACCTGTGGATTGCCTGTTACCCTGTTCTTGGCCTGGATCTGGATTGTTTGCCTGCTGCGTGCCCTTTGACCTCAGCCTGTTTCCTGGACTTCCTCTTGCCTGTTGCTTTTGTACCTCACTGCCTGGCTGGTTTTGCCACCACACTGCCCACCCGGTTTTTGACCTCAGCTACGTTGACTACTTTACTTCTGGACATCTCCAGCATGGTGCCGGTCTCCCTATTGGCACTTGTGCGTCTCGCTGTCCTCCCACACTCTGTTTTCACCTCAAAGGGGTGCAGGACGCGAGACGCAAGAGAGGCCTCCTCGTCCACCGGTCTCCTGCCAGGTACATGACACTCCTATCAGCATATTCCTTGTCATCAGGTACCAGAGCCTAACCGGTTCCTAGTACTACCCCTACCTCTCTCAGTATTGTTGTGCAGGTGATGACAGGAGGCTGGTATCAAGGCACATTCAGGTACTTATGCTAGCTGTATGCAACAAAGGTAGATCTATTGTTTATTTTTAAAGGAACACACAACTGAATTACATGGTAGTACTTAGAGCCATGACAGCTGTATAGTCAAGCTGTTCATAATGGCCAGACAACAGGACCCGGACATGGCACTTTCCCTTCTGGACACCTTCCTAATCCTCCTAATCCTCCAATAGAATTTCAAGTCAAAAACGGTTTATTGACTCGATTGCTATCACATCATATAGATATATGATGTGATAGCAATCGAGTCAATAAACCGAGTGACTTCATACATACACTTATCTTGGATTGCAGAGGCATCTGCAGTCACTTTGGCACCCACCCGACTCAAGGGGTATTATTCAGTAACGAGTGCGATGGGTACACTGGATTTAGCACCTTCCTAATCCTCCCCTTTAATCAGCGGCAGTCCATTACACAAAATTATCCATATTTTAAATGGTCTTCCACTGCTCAGTCACACTGAAGTATAACAGAAAGGATACTGCAATGTCTTCATGTATTTCTGCACTGCTTGAAGCCAGTCTGGGATGGTCATGGACGCCTTGTAGTTTGGCACGGACGGTACTGCGGGCTGCAATGAAAGAAAAAACAAAGTATTAAGTCACTTTACTGAACGGGGTAACATGTGCACACATTTGTTGCCAGCACCAAGACCATGTGTTTCCATGAGGAAAATACATTTGCCTGTTCCGTGATTGTTATCTTGAAATCATTGCAGGATTTCCTAGTTTAAAAAAAAAAAAGTTTAATAGATAATTTCCTCAACACTCCACAACAACAGATGTCTGACCAAATTGGCATCTCTTCTTTTTGCCGTTTAACATTATGGTCAAACATGGAAAATTGGATACGTTAAAGTGTCAATCCACCTAAAACTTGTATTTTAGGTTTTTAGTAGGTGCTAAAAAGTAGGGATGAGCTCGGGTTAGGTCTGGACTTGGGTTGGTCCGAACCCAGAAGAAAGCGGTCAGTGCTGGCCCAATGAGCTGCGTGTGGGGAATTCATGTCGACAAAGGGGCAGCATGCTGGTGACATCAATGACTTTATAGGTCCACATGGCCAAATCTGGTCAATAAAATTAATTCAGCCCACCACACTCCCCCTATGTCCGTTTTATGTCCACATTACCATGTCTGATCAATGACATTGGCTCAGCCCACCGCACTCCCCCTATGTCCATTTGATGTCCGCGTGGCCATATCTGGTCAATGACATTGGCTCAGCCTACTGCAGTCCCCCTATTTCCGTTTGATGTCCACATGGCCATATCTGGCCAATGGCATTGGCTCAGCCCACCGCACTCCCCCTATATCTAAAATAATACTTTTGAATGGACTGACATTTTGAGTGGAAAAAAATGGAAGCCTTCGTCTTGGGTAGGGAAAATAATATTTCCAAGGTTTATACAAAGTAATCTTATGTCTGTGAAATTTGTCATTCATCCAGGTCATGGAAATCTGTAAAAAATAAATCAAAGCAACTGGACTTGCTGTATTTTTCTTGAAGATGTTTTGCTTGTCATCTGACTAGCTTTCTTAATTCAGAGTGCTGAATCGGAACTGAGAAAGCTAGTCGGATGACCAGCGAAACGTCTTCCCCCAAAAAATACAGCAAGTCCAGTTGCTTTGATTTTTTTTTTACAGATATACCATGACCTGGATGAATGAGAACCTTGATTCTGAGGAAGGGGGTATGCCCCTGAAACGCGTAAATCCAGCCTAAAAGCAGCCGGTGGCACGATGGTATGGTGATCTGACTTACAGTGATGGTGATGCAGCTTTTTATACGTAGTCGGAGCGGAACATTCCTTAGACACTGATCTTGTGGTCTCGTATTGACAAGAGTGACTGAAATTTTATAATTGCGAGTATTTATAACCGTTTTTATTATTCAAATAAAATAAAAGATTTCACACAAGGAGGTGGCGCTTTGTTGCTTTGATGTATCTGATGAGAACCCCGGAGTCTCTTTGACAAGCAGCCTCTCCAAAAGCTGTGGATATTTACAAGAAAGACTTCTCCTTGACAAGGGTATTGTCTACCTTTTTTTTTTTTTTTTAAGGGGTCAATTAACGAAACAGTCTTCTATACCATATCGTTCTAATTAATTGACACGACACTGGTATTGGATTGTAGTGGCCACAGCAGCCATGAATGAGAACCTTCACAGATGGAGGAAAAATTGGAGTGGACATGGATGTCACATATGTGACATCCATCTCTGTTCTGATCTGACTAGGACAGGGATGGACAAATTATTATGAAATCCAAGAGACAGTATGTCCAATCCAAGAGCCATCAGGATTTATTTTTTTTGAGCCATCTCCATTGACAGCAACTACAGAAAACATCAAAAGTTAGGAGCCAGCTTTACTACCTGGCTCCTGGGCTTTGTACATCCCCAAGAGACAACTACACATATACAGGAAGTGGGCGTAAAAGATTACCCGACACATACAATTTATGGGGTTACGGGATCAATGGAAAAAAAAAAACAACCCAAGTTGTATAAAAAGTCAAACCTTTAGGTGAGAAAAAGTTACAGCTGTGCAATGCCTTCTCCATAGGTGTGATAGTATTAGCTGGGAATTAATCAATCATCACTACTCCAGTATGGTGTTAACTTTGTTCTACATGCTAAAATATGCAATCTAATTTTGGCTTTGCTGTTTTTTTTGTAAACTAGTATTACAACCGCTAACCCAGAACTTCGGGCTAGATAGCTTGAGTTTCCCTGTAAAAGAAGTTTGGTCCTGTTCCTTCTAATTTTGAAATAACATGAACATCAATAACAGAAAACGCAGTCACTAAAAATTGTGGTGTCGCCCAACATTAGCGGCCAGTGTAGTAGTGACCCCTTTCATCGGTGGCCATTGGAAAATTTCCCCTCTGAGTTAGTGGTAAGTCTATGTGGGAAACCAGTTTGCCATCGCTCAAGGAACCTATAGCAACCCCAGGAGTAGGGATGAGCTCAAGTTCAGACCAAACCCAGTTCAAGGACAGAGCTCCTCTGAACATGGAAGTACCATGGGCCATCTGCCCAATGAGCTGTGGGCTGGGGCATTCCCCACCCTGCAGCTGCACATAAAAGGGATGGGATGCTTGTGCTAACATCACTGACCTTATATGCCCACATGGCCATATTAGGTCAAGGTCACTGAATAAATATATAGACATAAGACCATAAAAGGTCACCATCACTGACCAAATATAGCCATGTAGCTAATGGAAGCTTAATGTCATTGACCAAATATAGCCATATGGCCATAAAAGGTCAATATCACAGACCAAATATAGCCACGTAGCCAATGGAAGCTCAATTTCCTCATATGTGGCCATATAAGGTCAATGCCACCAACCAAATACAGACATGTGGCCATGTAAGGTCAATGTCACCCACCAAATATTGCCATGCACCCATGTAAGGTATATGTCACTGACCAAATATAGCCATGCAAGGTCAATGTCACTAACCAAATATAGCCATGTTCCCATGTGAGGTAAATGTCACCCACCAAATATAGCCATGCAAGGTCAATGTCACCAACCGAACATAGCCAGGTGGCCATGTAAGGTCAAAGATGTCACTGTATCCCAGCTCTTTGCTCATGAGCAGCTGCGAGAGGGAAATTCCCTTGCAGCAGCTGATTGGGTGGCAGCTGAAGGAGCTTCCTACCGTGTTCAGAGTAGTTCCAGTTAGGTCCTTACCTGAGCTCATCTCTACTCATATGGAGCCCTAGGGTTGCATGGAATCCGGGTTGAGAAAGGTGGGCTTAGACAGTAAGACATTTTAGAACTTGTTACAATCTTATCATGGTATAGCTGTAAGCGTGTGCACACGTGTGTCCAATTCAGCACAGTTGGGGATTTTCCGATAGAGAATAGCTGGAAGTTATCAGAATACACAAGAACCTTTTTTTTTTCTGGGAGAAGCAGATGATACAATCTGTGGCAGCAGAAATGCTTGCACACATGTCAAGAGCATTATATCTCCTGACCATAAATCACAGACAGACCGCAGTTATATAGAACACAGATGAGAAGGTCACAACCAGCCAAGTCTTCTACACATTGGAAAGAACTCTTCCCATGGAGGAACGCCGGATTCGTCATGTGCTGCATTGTGGCCAGGAAATGAAGTCATCTTCCAGCACAATGCTGATCACTCACTGCCTTCCTGTACTCACACAACACTTATACAGCCCAGTGCAGGTCTGTGTGTATGCCGTACTACAGAGGAGACCGTAGCACATGTCAGCCTGGTCACAGAGAACAAACTAAAACACAGACTAGACATGTGATTGGATCTTAGGTGCTACAGAAGTTTCCTCACCAAAGATAAATCTAATATATCAGCTGTAAAGAGGACCTGTGCTATATACAAAGTGGGGTTGTGAAGGATAAGGGTATGGAATATAGAATGTTGTATTGCTGTTTGTGTTGGGGAGATTCCCCACTCACTTCCTGGGCAACCACCTGCACAGAAAGTAAGGAAATTTCCCCAACGGGAACAAGGCAAAAAAAAAGGAGAACTTTTAAAGTGTTATGTAAAGTCGATGAACTTCTCTTATTTGGCCCTTTTTGTCTGATAAATATATCATTGAAGGAGTTTTGTTATATCAGTCCGAGACGTGCAAAAAAAAAAACCTGTTGATCCTGCCAAAAATGTTGTCAGCTGATAACTAAGTCCAAATCCCATTCGCACTGCCACGGTCTCAAAACCACAAGGTATATGTGGTGCCCAGGTGACCACACGGATGGCGCCGTGCAAAACACTAATAGTAAATAAAAGTAATTCACCGGCACCGCCGGTGAATTACTTTTATTTACTGTCAGCTGATAACTGTCAGCAAAGGCAGAGAGCACTGGAAGTTATCAGTTACGTCTTTCGCAGTGATCTCTGAGGACTACAGAACCCCTCTCTTCTATGTTATGGTGACCAAAGTCGATAAGAGCCTAATTTCTATACGATCAATAAAATACATATTGATTGGGAAGAAGAGACCAAACCACAAACGTCAAAGGCAGGTTTGGATCATAAGTGATGAACCGCATTATATAAACTACACATGTGATCTCCAAATGGACCAACTGGAAGTTTAAAAAGGATTGAAAACCGAACAATCTATTATTTTGACCGATTTTTGATCCAGCTGCTCCGATGGACCCATATCCCTAAAGTGGTACAATTGGTTGAAAATTGGTTGCAAATGGCCAGTTCCATCAGACAATCACATGTCGTTTCAATTATCTCCATCTAAATCACACATCGATTGTTTCTTTTCACCGACAAGACTGTGGACTCCGTTAGGGAGAAGAGTAGAAAGGGAGGTAACTGTAGTCCTGTCCTAGGGTGGCAATCTTGCTCCTCCATAGATGCAGTATGGTGAGTGAACATTGTTACCCCAAAACAGGAAATATTACTGGGAGGGAATTAGAGGGGGAAAATGCCTGAAATAAGAAAACTAATGCAACCACCAAAACATGGTTTTGGATGTAGACACACTTTTACTAGCGTTGTGTCGCAATGGCAGCCCTATTTATCTAGAGCAGGGTTTCTCAACCTTTTTCT